TTGTCCCTCACTGAACTAGCTCCTTGAGTTCAGTGATTGTACAATGAATGGCCCACAAATGTTTATTGCATGATTGGAAGATAACCTCAGTATGAATAAGATCGTGCCCTGCTTCCCTCATTTATAAAGTTCCTAAAAAAAAATCTTGAATTTTGAATATTTTACTTTTTTTAAAGTAATCTCTATACCCAATGTGGGGGTCAAACCCACAAGTCCAAGATCAAGAGTCGTACACTCTACCGACTGAGCCAGACAAGCACCCCAAGGTATAATCTATTTTAAATAAAACATCACACATGTAATTTGCTACATATGTGTTAATGAAGTAGACATGAGATGTGAATATTAAATACCAAATTATGCTGAATTAAGTATCACTGGCCATTGAATATGTTATTGTCCTATTTGAAATATTGCCACCAATAGCTAGGTCAGGGAATCTTAACCCGGAGTCCACAGACCTCCAAGAGATTTAAGGGTCAAATTCAGAGGATATGTGCACTTGCATGGGAACAAAAGTTATTTCTTCTAAACTGTAAGTGGAATTTAGTATTTCTTTTGCACATAAATGCAACAATGCAGAGCTGTTTCAGGCAGTGACTGTGACTCTGTCAATAACAGAAAGCAAGTATTTTCATATCTCATTAGTTGTTGCAGAGATCTCAATATAGTGTTTATGCTACTTCGATGTCAGAGCGGTTATTAAACCTCTTGCTAAATGTCGTTATTAAATGAACACATTTATTACTGTATCACACATCTATATAATTTTGATAACTTACACTTCAATGTAATTGGTTTTCTTTGTAATCCCATGCATTGCATTTTCTGCACTTAAAAACATTATTCTGAAAAAGGGTCCATGGTACAAGAAAGTTAAACGGATCTTGGCATTCACTTAACATGAAATGAGACCAACGTGTGGTGATCTGACTCCAGAGCAACTTTGCCCTCTTGCCCTCTTACTGCCAGGGTAAGAATAGAGATTACAGGCCTTTTGGACAATCCTAAAACTATAGATCTAAGAAAAGATGTCCTTTCTCACACTGAAAATCTGTTTGGATGGAAAAGCCGTGTGACTTTGTTTCAAAGGGTCCCCGGGGTAGGCTGGAAGAGTGGAGTAAATGCATTTAGATCTACTCATAAACTCACAACTAAATGCTGCAGACATTGGCTTAAGAGTTTGTCCAAGAAAAATTCATTTCTTTGTGTAGTATCTGCATAGATATCTACTAGAGTAAGATTTGGGTTATCAAAACTGTTAGGACATACTCTGTAAAGTTATGAGATCCTTTCTGATAATTGGTGACAAGGACCTGTCAGAGATAAACTCATTGGAGTATTTGTTCTCTAGGAATTCCTCTTTGGTTTCTTGGTCTTGGTTCCAACAGGAAGCAGACGGTCCTTAAATTAAGATACTCTGAGGAGACACTGTACAAAGCCGTTGGTGCAGGGAGCCGTAACAGGAAGCACACTAGCTTTAGCAACCCCAGGTTAGTGGCAGCAGAACTGACATTACCCCTTGGCCAGAAGTGAAAAGCACAGGGAATGGCAAATCAAAGGAAATTAGTGAAGGGAAGTTTGGAAGAAGTGATGACAGAGCCAAAAGAATCGATACCCTGACCAGGACACTCCTTGACCAAACCCACTTAGAAGCCAGGAGGCAAAGGAGCTCACTGCTGTGGTCCATTCATCGGCTTCATGGGAAAGAGGGTGGAGAAAAGATGGAGGGGGAGAGACACCCAGCACATTTGACCAGTCCCTACCAGAACACGTAACACACTATTTGATGGGCCAAGAGGGCAGAACTGTAATTTTCAAATTCGTGGCTGTGCCTAATAAAATTCTGGCACACAGTAAGTGCTCAGTATTACTGAATGATTAAACTGAGAGCTGAAATGCTGCTGAAACTAAGAGTAAAAGCAAGTTGGGAACTAAGTATTCACTTTTAGACAGTGGACATTTAAAATATTATGGAGGGGAGATCATCTGGGTGGCTCACTTGTTAGGCTTCCAACTCTTTTTTTTTTTTTTTTTAAAGATTTTATTTATTTATTTGAGATAGAGAGAATGAGAAATAGAGAGCACGAGAGGGAAGAGGGTCAGAGGGGGAAACAGACTCCCCGCCGAGCAGGGAGCCTGATGCGGGACTCGATCCTGGGACTCCAGGATCATGACCTGAGCCGAAGGCAGTCGCTTAACCAACTGAGCCACCCAGGCGCCCTAGGCTTCCAACTCTTGATTTCGGTTCAGGTCATGATGTCAGGGTCATGAGATCAAGCCTCATGTTGGGCTCCAGGCTCAGGGGGAGTCGGCTTGAGACTCTCTCCTTCTGTCTCTGCCCCGCCCATCCCCTTTGCATGCTCTAAAATAAGTAAATAAATCTTTAAAAAAAAGTCATGGAGGGGCACCTGGCTGGCTCAGTCCGGAGTGTGCGACTCCTGATCTTGGGTTGTGGGTTTGAACCCCATGTTGGGTGGAGAGATTGCTTAAAAATAAAATCTTTTAAAAAATTTAAAGAAATGTTATGGAAATACAGGATTCAGCAATATATTCTGTAGATCAGGCAGATAGAGATCATAGCTTTGTAATATAATTAAGTACAATTGAGCCTCATTATTCATGGATTCTGTGTTTGGATGTTTGCCTACTCTTTAAAACTTTCCCGGTGTTTTCACGGTCACCTGTGGAGTGAAAATTTTGACTTGCTCAATGCGTATGTTCCCACTTGAGGTTGAACAAAGTACTTCAGCTCTCATAAATGAGTATCCTTTGTTAGTGCCACGTTTTTTGCATTTTTGTCCTTTCTTTGGTGATTTCCCTATTCAAAATGGCCCTCAGATGTAGTGCCGAAGGGTGCCTAATGTTCCTAACAGGTACAAGGCGGCTGTGACATCCCTCATGGAGAAAATAACATGCGTTAGATGAGCTTTAGTCAAGCGTGAAGTTACAGGGCTATTGACCACAAGTTCAATGTTAGTAAATCAACAAAACACAGACACCTGAAACAAGCTTACGTATTGATTAGTTGATAAAAATGTGACCAGAGGCTTGCAGAACAATAGCCCTGTATTTCCCCTAGGAGCAATGGTTCAGCATTAATTCTGTTAGTGGTGACTATAGAATCTAACTGCCACGAAGAACAACAATCAACTGTACTTGCTATTTTCCAGTTCCTAATAACGATTCAAAAAAGAAAAGCCAATTTACAAAAGACATGATTTTTCTATGTCGGCAACTAACTGGTACTTATAATGCAAAACCAAAGGGTGGGGGACATTAAAACCCAACACCACTGCATAATTTTGATGTGTTACATTAAAATTTATTAGTTTCTGAATAGTATTTGACTAAATCCAAATTATTTCAATTAAAGTTGTCTAGAAGCCCATATAGTTGGAAAATTAAAATTAGTGGGAGGGAAAAGTGAAAACAATCTAATACATTGACTTTAAGAACAATTACATATGCTTTATTCTTATTATCTGGACTCAGCTGGTTAATTCAATCCTTAGTTAGGCCAATTTATATCTACTCCACAATAAATCCTACATTATCCAAAAGCTTCATGCTTCTACTTACAGTAGCATAGCAAACTTGAATTCCTTAAAAAAAAAAAAAAAAAATCACCATTTCATTGACTAATGTAAACAGTTCCTCCATGCTCTGGCCTAAAAATATTTAATGTTAGCCCACAAAGACAGCCAGCTATTCTTCTGGGGTGTCTTAACAGTGGAAGCCTTTTGATTTTTATAGTTGTTTAAAGTATACAACCTCGAATAGTAGAAGACACTGAGCTGAAATTTCTAACTCACTTTCTAACCATAGTAAGAATGATATTTTCCCCCAGGGACCACCAAATATATATAAAAATTTGTACTAAATTCTGTAAGAATCCACAAACATCAATGAGAAGCTTTCTTGCCATGCTCCAGATGTCTTGAAGACTAGACATACTATATGTATTATAAGAGCTTCAGGATAAATATTGAGTGCCTGGGTATTATCATAGTAGTAAAAGTTAAGTCATTTTTTATTTTTGAAAAAACACTTTTGGAACCATTACCATACCCCAAAATAGGTATTAGTGCTACTGGTGATTAAGAAGCTCAGAAGCTATAATTATGCATACTCTTACTGTGCAAGTAAGCAGTAGAGGTCTGAAAATGTGAGGGGGAAAACACCCAGGCACTTAAATCAATGAACATTTGCTAGGAGGAAACTTTTAAAATGACTGTTTGCAGCCTTGACAGAGTTGCATTAACATCAAATAGCCATATTTCTGTCCACTTACAAGGAACACTATAAAGAAGCAGTCAAGCCATGTTTAATAAAAGGTGTCAGTATACAGAAAATGTCTTTTTTCACAATTAGAAAAATTTAACATCTTTAGTCAAACACTAGATGGGAAACAGCCTAAAGAAAAAAAAGACCTACCCATAACACCTATTTCAACTACAAAGCAAAATGCTCTGTGACTGAAGGAAAATAACTTAATATTCATTATCATTTTATAAGAGAAGTCCAAGGAATGATATTATGCTCATAGGTAAACACAGATTTTTCCAAAAGATTTGTAACTACGGTATGCAAGACATAAAATCAAACTGCAAAACTAGTTCAAAGCAATTAGAGTCCAATGGTTCTCTTATGTTTTCTTTTATGTTCTTTATTTTAAATTGATATTTTAGAACAGTAAATTATCTTTCATAGCAGTGCCTCCTGGTCTGATAATATAGTACCTCTCTGAATGTAGAGATTTAAGATAAATCAAAATGAACATTAAGGCGTACAAACAGCTACTTTAAGTCTGCTCTTATTTAATAAGGATCTTTTTAACTCATATTCAAATACATGGAATGTTGGCACAAAACTGAAGCTGCTGTAGAAAGATCACAGATGTTCTGTGGGTTATTGAAACTTCCATTTCTCTAAAAACATACCCTTACATGGTCTTAATTTTATAAATTTAAGTGTTGAGAAAATGTCTAAATAATAAGTAACAATTAAAATAAAATGTTTATTTGTAAATTATGTACAGAATACATTTTACTTTACGACAAGGAAATGGGAAGAAGAGCCATCGCCTTCCAACCAATACTGTTTCGCTTTCTCTGTTGGGAGATGACTTTTTCTGAGTCAGATGTACAAATCAGTTTGGATTTCCTAAGTTGGAAAAGGAGAATTTGTAGCTAAACTAAAAGTGCTGCTGTATTACTAGCTGGCTTGTTTCCACAAAATGCTTTTGAACCCTGCTAACTCAGAATCTTAGAAATTTCCTGGTATACTTTTATAATCAACCAAAGCTTAACTATCAAGAACAAGGAGTTTAAGCATTTCATTTTAAAGAAACTGTGAAATGGCTACATAACTATGCATAATCTGAAATGTTGGTGTTTCTCTTTTATCCCTTTTATTTTGATTAATCTAATAGTAAAAAGCCATACAACTATCAAAAATGCCATTAATCTAAATATCATTGTGGAAAATGCATCTTTGATAACTATCAAAACGAATAAGACCTACTTATTGTAAAATTATCAAATAGATACAACTTATAAATGGCTTTAGACTGTACCAATAATAATATTCTATGAAATGAAGGACTGAATATAATTGTTTGGATGTCAAATACATTTCAGCAAATGGATTTAAAGAATGCTACAAATGTGTACATTAGGATGATCAGCCAACATAGAAAATCCAACCTCTTGCACTTTATTTAGTCCCAAATTAGTCAGATTATGATTTTTCCTGTGAAGATTTAGTTGTTTCTCCATCATTGTCTTCTTCTTCCTCCTCTTCACAATCCCCATCTGTTTGCTGTTCCAGTTCCTCTTTTGTGATCATTTCAAAATCATTCCCATTTCCACTACTGTGTTGGGATCGGTCATCTTCCCTCCTGTCACTGTCTGTGTCTGAATGCCGTTCTCCACCTGAGCCTTCTGTTCCATGATTCCCTGGTCCTACTTTACCCTCCTCATCTTCCTTTTTCTCACTGTCTGACTTTTCCTCACTGTCGGACTTCTGTTGCTTTTTGGTTTCAGATTTCTCATCTTTCTTGAAGTCTGCTTTTGGTCCTTTATATTCATGTGTGTACAGAGGCCTGAAGGAGTCGATGAAGCCCACGTCAGCAGTCAGGTTTGGCAAGAACCAAAAGTGGTGCCTTCCTCCAGTTATGAGCCAAATGATGAGAAACAGAATGCAACGAGCTGTAGGAAAAAAATGTCTCTAACTGAATAATTCAAGCATTGACTCAGATAGCGGGGAATATTTAATAAAAAACTGAAAAAAACATTCAGTTTATTATTTGCACAATACATGTACCTTGAATATAAACAATTAAATCCTGGCTAGTTTATAGCAGCAACCACAGTATCCTTGGTGCAGAGCATTCTGCTCTGATCCTGAGGGCACACTTTGCTATGCCGTAGATCAATAAGCATAGCCTCAGTTGGACGTTTAAGTGTGCATGAGACCATGGTATAAGAAAAAGGAAATAAATGTAGTCAGGGATGAAGGATATTTTAAGAAGCCCTTAAAAGGGAAAAAACAAGGTTGCATCATGACTTTCCTGGACTCTAGGTAGGCACTTTTGCCTTTGTGAGGCAATTCCTCCATAAAAAAATATTAAAAATTATACTCTTTATGACCATATTGGTATAAATACAAATATGCATAGGTTCATTACTATATACATGTGTGCATATTACTACTTCTGATTTTAAAAGAAATGAAAATACATTTCTACAGGGCCCTAAATATGTCATGGATCCAAGGCCATGTGCCTACTCAGCCTCAACGGTAAGTCTTCTAAGTAAAATTACATACTTCTGAACATACCTTTCCTTGCTACAATTTTGTTAACTAGTTATCTAATTTCTGCTTATTTAGGGACCATTCCTCTCCTAATATTAGGAAATAATAAAACGGCAGGGCCTGAGGTTACTCTCAAAACTCAAACTCAAAACTGTGGTTAGATAATGGAAGAATTTGAAAATTTTAGTTTATAGTAATGAGTTTTCACAATCACAAGCCTCAGTATTTCATATAGTTTTCTCTTAATTTACCAGTTGTACAGAGCTGTGTGATTTTTCCTGTTTTTGTTTTTTTTTTAAGGTCATAATAATTATGTGAATGTTATGGACAAACAATTATGACAGATCTTGGTTTGTTTTGCTTTTCATTTTCTTCACAATTACATCACCATTTTCATGTCAGGTCTGAAAAAAGCTCAGCTATCTGTGCCTCCTCCATTAGTCTGCTTGGGATAACTAAAAGGAAATGGTTATAACTGCCTTGACTTTTATGAAGTAGTAATTACTATTTTCACAAAGAACATAAATATTCTAAAAGTCTGTACACATTGGTATCTTTTGAGGTACAAACAGAAAAGGCAAATATGTTTGAAATTATGATTTAAGAATAAATTCCACTGATAAAAAGAAATAATGAATGTTTTTTAAGGAGGCCGCATATTTTTTTCTCCAAATAAAATTATGATACTATGATAGACGGTTGGAGGGTTATAAGACAGATGGTCCATAATTGGAAATCTTTTTTTTCCATAATTGGAAATCTTGACTCAAATCCAAAAAAAAAAAAATACAGAAATGGCACAAATAAAACTTAAATTCTCCACATACATAAATTGCGCACAGCAAAATTCCAACAGGTTTTATGTGGCATTAGATTACTAGGGGCAAACATGAAACAATCATGGGAAAATCACTGTGTATTTACTGCCATACTGCTCTTGTACTAAAAAGGACACATTTAGAAAACTGTCAAAGGCCTTATACATATTCAAAGGCGCACCAAATATAATTTTGACCAATATATAGTATTTCACAGGATAATATAAAATAAATATCCAGTTTATAAGTGGGCTACAGATGAAAACTATTTGAAAGTATATTTGGACATGTACTGCATGGAGCACTGGGTATTATACGCAAACAATGAATCATGGAACACTACATCAAAAACTAATGATGTAACGTATGGTGACTAACATAATAAAATTTTAAAAAAAGTATATTTGGAATTGCATTTTCTAACAGAAACAAAATGTTGGGTTTGTTTTATGGTTTAATTCACAAGATTATCAATCCACAATGCATTTTTAAATTCACAGTATATTTAAAATGAAAAATGATAGAAAACACTACTAAAAATGGTATTTTTAAAGAGCAAAATGATATAATAACCATAAATTATTGTGAATACTAGTTTAAATAAAAGATAAGTTAGTGGGTTAATTCTATTCAGTAGAGTTAAGTCTTCACTGAAGTTTTTCAAAGAGCTTCTAAATTTTGAGGGATTTGAGAGCCTGAAGATAACCAATTTGATTCTATCTAATGTCAGATCAAAGTTTATAGCTTCTCATTCTTGATGCAGGTAGTATACTACCACTAGTTAGTTGCTTCACAATCTTAAATATAACTTCTTGGCCTACAAATGTGCTATATGCAGAAGCATCAGGGGATTTCCTCAAGGTGACTAAGTTAGAGGAGGGAAAATATGAAAGGTGGGTGAAGAAAGCTTCACACAGTCAGAGATCACAGAGAGAAAAGGGAGGCCCATAAACATGATAAATTGAATGAAAATACTACATGAGCCACTGGGTCCAGGGATGGTGGCACTAACTCAGGACACCCTGATGTCCAGGGTGAATGGACAAGCAGAGGAAAATTGCTTAGGAATAGATGAGTAATGCTTTATAATATAGGATATTATATATCACAGAACCTCAGAATAACATGTGCTCAGCTCGGATAATCAGTCAAAGTACGTCCTCTAACAACAGATGTTAGGTCAATACTGTGATGTTGTTTTTTCTTTCTGTATAGGAAGTACTCTCTTACATCTTCGTGGAAGGTGGATTTGTCATTTGGGGAAAATAATCAGAACTTAGTACCATATGCCAATATAAACTCTACATGGACCAAAGAACTATATATAGAAGTTTAAAAATCAATATACAACTTTAGATAAGCTGAGAAAAATTCCCATTTCTTTCTCAAAGTAAAAGTTAAATTAGACCTGCTCACCCTAAATGGGAAAATCTTCAAAGACTAGGATTTTAAGTAAAATAATATTTGTTGGTTTTTTTCACGGTTTAATATAACATACTCATTGTAAAAAATACAGACAAGTATAAAGAACAACTTTAAAAGTATTCACAACTATCACCACTATTTGTATTTAGGTGTATTTCCTTCCAGTCAAACCCTCCCTGGCATTGAGTATTTCCATTAAAAAAAAAAAAAAAAAAAATCTTCCTAATTAAACAGGCAAAAAACTACTTCAATATCTTAATTTTATTGTTTGATTACTGGTGATGAGAATTTTTCATGTATTTATTAATCATTTGTTTTTAATTTCCTCATTTGAAGTGAGTTATTTTTATATTGGTTTGTTTTTAGCTATAAAGACCTTATTCATCCAGAAGTGTAAAAAAAATTACTTATGTTTTGTTTGATTTTTAAAAACCATTTGAAATGCATCTAGAATTTATTTTGGTATATGGGTGCAAAATTTTTCCCAAAATGGCAAATCAATTGTTTAGAATCATTTATCGAATACACACATAGAACTTAAATATTTAATACAAGTTTCATTTGCCTTAAGTCAATGTATAAAAATGCTTTACTAAAAGTACTGCATCTCATAAATGATCAACCACTGTAAAAATACTAGTCTTTGTGGTGGCTAAACTTTAAAACAAATCTACATGCAGATTAAGAGACATTAAATACTTTTTCTTCACAATAGACCAAATTGAATCAGGTACATATTCTATTTCAAGCTTGAGTCACTTCTGGGATATGACCCAAAAAGTAGGTCCATATACTTCATTTGTCTGTATTATAATAGTTTTGCTATTAAGCTTTACTTGAAGCTCCAGATTACAGTCCCAACTGCTTGGTATCTACCTTACTAAGGTCAAATTTACTAATAACAATACTTACCAACAGCAAGAAGAAGAATGCTGGCTACAAAACAGCCTGCACCCACACTAAGGTAATAAACACCTACTCTCATTTCTGCTGGCCAAAGAGGGAAGAGGGTGGCTGCTATCACTGCAATCACTAGAACGAGAAATGACAAAGTTACATAGATAACTTTGAGATTAAAACTTTAAATGGCGTGGTTGCAATAACAGTTGAGTATTTTCCTAGGGGGCACAATTGAAATATAAACATACTGAAACATAAAAAATTGCCATTTTTATAGGTAAAAAATGGTAAATTACTAGCCATTTCACATAGTTCAACTTAACATTTTAACTATTGCTTTTAGGTTAGGATTTTTTCTAGTACAATTACATATGACTAGAAAAAAGTGTCTAAAAATGTGAAATTGTTAGCTCCTTAAATGATCGACTGCTACTGTTTTCAAGCAATGTCTGTCTTATTTTCTGAATATATCTGCCTACTGAATAGGGGAGCTTAAAGAAACAATCACCAAACAACACTAACTAAAAAATGATTCCAAAGATCCCTCCCTCAGGGAGGGGTGAGTCTGAGGTGGAGCTTTGACATTTATAGACTGAAAAGCTCAGCAGGTGATTCTGATAGTTTTTTGGTAGCTGGGGAAACTGGAAACAAACATCTCCAGTTTTTTTCCAAGTACCATGGGACCACATGGAATAATCAGAAGAAGTCGCAAGTCTGGTTTTAGGTCTTGAGAGCAACAGAGACCAGAATTCAAATTCTAGTTCTATCATTTTTAAGCTAAGTAACCCTGGGCAAGTTATTTAACCCCTTCAAGGCTAAGTTACTTTATATTCAAAATGTGCCTCTTCCTCTTTTTTAAAGGTTGTCATGAGGATGAAATGAAACAATGCATGTAAAATATTCAGCGAAGTGACTAGTACATAGTAAGTGATCAACAGTTATTAGCAATTTGGGTAGTATTTAACGGAGTTATTTTGAATGGGATCCTATGCTATCTATATTGATCACGCTTATTATTTGACTGCTATTTTTTTCTACTTGTTAAATACCCTCCTTCCCAGGCTCCCACCTTGAACTTATAGGAATAACACATACCCATGGCAAGAGAAACAATCTACAGGTATAAAGTGAAGTCTTCATCCAATTATTGGTCTACCCCCAGAGATTACTACTATTATGTTTCTAATTTATACAGCCAGAGACTGCCTATGTATAATTGAAACTGCCTACATGGGATATTTTTTCTACAAAAATGAGCTTATATTCTTACATTTATAATTTTTTTCATTTAACCTATTTTAGATATTTCTCCATAACTATATCCTACCTAATTCTTAAAAGCTGCATGGTATTCTAGTGTGCAGTTGTGCTATAATTTATTTCACCATTCTCCTATGCAGGAACTTGAATTGTTTCCAGTTTTATTCTATTACAGACAACAGTGCAACAAATACCAAAGTACTGTACATTTGTGGAACTGTGATTAGGGTAGTATACATAGGATATTCATAGAAGTTTAATTGTTAGGTCAAAAGGTATAGACATTTAAAATTTAAAAGATAATTGCTAATTACCCTAAATATAGTCCGAGGGACTTGGATTAGAGTATGTGTCAGTGAAGGGCGCCTGGGTGGCTCAGCTGGTTAGGCAGCTGCCTTTGGCTCGGTCATGATCCCAGGGTCCTGGGAGCTGCATGGAGCCCTGCATAGAGCCCCGCATGGGGACTCCCTGCTCCCTGGGGACCTGGGGAGTCTGTTTCTTGCTCTCCCACTACCCACTCCCCCACCCTGGTCAAGTGCATGAGCTCTCTCTCAAATAAATAAAATCTTTAAAAAAAAAAAAAAGAAGAATGTGTCAATGAACATTTTTGAATAGATACTTTGTATAACTGTATTAAGAACAGTCATGGGATAAATTCCTAGAAGCGGCACAGCTGAGTTAGTGTCTGTGCATTTAAAATTTGAAAGACATCACCAAAATGTTCTCCATAAAAACTAAAACAATGGACATACAGTCAACTGTTAGAGAGTGTTGGATCTTCACTAAGACTCGGTACTATCACACTTTGTAATCCTCTTAATCATGGTTGCTTTAATGTATATTTATTATGTGTGATTACATTTTGTTCCTGATTATTGATCACTGTATTTTTTCTTCTGTGGGCTACCTTTACGATTTTTCTACAGGGTTGTTAATCTCTTAATTTTTGCTTTCATGTCTTATAACTATTTTCCTCAGCTTATCATTTATCTTCTGACTTTATTTAAAGTATACCTCTTTTAAAATAACTATTTTATGTTGAATATTTTTCTTTATGGCTTTTATATTTTTATTTTCCTTTCTAAATTTCAGAGATTGTACTTACCAAGAATTAATCCCATGACAAACGTTTTAAAGTGAACTGGGTCATAGATCCACACAAATACCTAGAAAAATCAAGAAACCCCAGTGCTTAAGGTTACATTAGAAAGTTAAGCTTAATTCTATATCCTCTACTACAGTTGCTTTCAACTTCTTAACATATAAGAACTACTTCCTAAGGTAAACAAATTCCTAAGACCCTTCCTTCAGTAGTAGGGTTTCTTTAGGTATTCATTTAGTTAGAAAATTATTTTCAAAATTATGACTTCTGTAATACACAAGTAAATTTCCACATACTTAACATGAATTTAACAATTTGTTCATGTATGCCAACCATTACTTGTTTTCAACCCAAAGACTATCAACTGTACAACTTTTTGTCCCTAATGTAATGGTGCAGTTGTGTTATAAGTAGAAGCAGTCTTGGCTAAGAGCACAGTTAAGACAGATCCAGCCAGGCCCTATCACAGATCCAGCAGCAATCAACTCTACCTTGTTGACTCCCATCAATGAAATGCAAAGAATCATTAATGAAGTTCATGCTTACTGAACATAAAGATTCTATGACTATCTGCAATAATTACATTGCCTACTCCCTTGGGGAGGGTCTGTAGCCTGTAAGTTGGGAACCATTGCTTTAAAGCTTGATTTACTTTTACACGAGAGAAGTTTACTTCATTTAGAACAATCAGAACTCTGCTCAATCCCCATCTAAAACTCCTAGTTTTATCTTAGTTTCTATAAATATCAGTACTCTTCCATTTCCTGATTTTATTTTGACCAGAGTTCTTTGTTATTGTCTTTTTGATACGGTTCTACTTCTAACACAGGGGATTCCACTCCTCTTTTTTAACTGCAAATTTCCCCTGGAAATCAGATCCACAAACCTCACTTCAGCCAGTTAGCATTCTAAAAACCAAGATTTTAAAGACATTTCCCAGCTTTTAAAAGTTTGAAAACATGTTGCTTTCTACAGAATAAAATATAGTCTTTTCAAGAATGCAAGCACCCCTGCTTTTGCTCAGGCTGTTTCCTTCACCTAATAGATCTGTAACTCCTTCCCAGGGTACCTGGTAATCTGCCAGTCGTCCTTCAAAGCTCAGCTCAAGTGTTCAAGGTCTCCAGACTCTCCTTATCCTGTCTTGATTAAACTTACTATTCTTAATTGATGTTCTCAAATCATAACACTCACCACACTGTGATACAGTAATGTGTAAAAGCTTGTATCTTTGCTAGAGTATAAAGCACTTCCAAGAAAAGAATTTATCTTATTTATCATGCTATTCCGAGCACCTATAAAAATGTCTTTGCATACAGCTAATGCTTGATGTTTAACTGAAGGTATTTGACCTTTCACATTAGGGAAGACCTCTGGTCTTCTATTACAGTGGTTGTTAACCAGGGGTTCACATCAGAATCACCCTGGAACATATCATACAACACACACACACACACCCTTATCATACAACACACACACACCCTTAGATTCCATACTATAGATTCTCATGCAAGTATGTCTGGAATGAGCCAAGAGCACTTCTTTTCTGAAAAGCGTTCCCAGAATTTCAAACTCATAGCTCTAGGAACCACTACTTTATATATACTACTTTTATATTAAGTATAACAGAAGAAATAAATCTTGAAATCCACAGGAACTCAATGGCCAGTATATAACTAATGTTTTTGTATTGGTTAAATGACTAAGCAATCTTCATGGAAGGCTACCATCACACAAATCTCCCATTACAAAAGAAATAAAAACAATTTCCTTGAGTAATGCATCAAGTAATGCTGAGAATTTTAGGCCCCTAGTGTGTCCGACTATAAGAGGCACAAAACTGTAGGTGTTCTCCATTAACAATTCTACCCATTTTTCTTTGATAGTAAAGGAAATACTGCATTTTAGCTGGGCAAATGACCACCAGTATAAAAAGCACATTTCTAAGACTTTACTGCAGGTAGGCCATGACCATGTGACTAGGTTTTGGCCACTGGAATCCACACAGAAATGCAACTGCTAGCTTCCTGGAAGATGTCCTTAAAGAGGAGAATTGTCCCTCATTTTCCTTTCCTCCTTTGGATGCAGCTATGAGCCTGGCAGTCATTTTGGACCATAAGGTAACCTTTACTAATTGCCTCAAACAGCTCTACCATAGAGCTGCCAGATCTGTACTATTTACCTTCAGACTTCACTGATGAGAGAGAAACAGCATCTACTTTGTGTTAAGTCACTGTTATTTCAGATTTCCTATCACTCATAGACAGCTAAACCTAATTCTGACTAATTTTCTTGTACATTTTTTGTAATTCTAAATTCAGAGAAATTACTGATTTTTTTTTTTTAAAAGAGTAGTATCTACATAGTTAGATTTACCAAGAGTACTTCTTTTCTTAGTAAAGTTACCAAAGATAATTCTAAAAACTCCTATGGAAAACTGGATTTCTATTTATAAGCTAGATACTCTCACCTCATTTCCATCCAGAAAAACTTGATCATCATGTGGCTCAAGTTTGAATTTTTTCTTAGTTTCCTTCTTTTTGGGAGTTCCTGGAGTTTCCTCCTATTAAAACACAAGTTAGACAGAAGAAAATAACACTTACAAAAAGCAAAAACCACTAAGACATTCACACAGTCAAAGTTTCACTTTGAGACACAGAGATAAAAATTCTCAACCATGGTATTTATAAGAACCCTAATATAGTTATCTTTTAAGTGCTTGTTGCACAGCATTTCAAAAGTGCTCATATGCCAGTGATCGTATGTACATAATAATTTATTTTTACTTAAATGTAGTTGAAATCACCTTTTTGGGTTCTTCCTTTTCGCCATCTTTTTTTTTTTCTTTTTCTTTTTTCGTTTTTTCATCCTTTAGATTTTCTTTCCTGCTCTTTTTATCTTCTTCTTTTCCACTTTCGGCCTTTCCTTTCTCTTTTTCTTTTTTTATGTCTTTATCATACTTCATTTTCATTACTTTTAGTGCCCGGTGAAAAAACTGCTTCTTTAAAAGCCTATGGAAAAAATGGTATGACATTCCGTTCCTTATCAACTATACAGATACAGACTGAAAAGAAAAAAACACCAAACCCAAATAAAATGAGCAAAGACTACACTGGTAACTTAAAAAAGAAACTACAACTAGTAAACCAATGGAAAAATAGTCAACTCCACCTCTAAAAAAAAAACAAAACCCTGTATTGCCAATGTGATTATATAAAATTTTTGTCAACTAATTTTCATTTTTCAACTATATAATTTAGATATAACAGATTATAGGCTTGGAATTATCCTTATGAAACTTTTCTCTGAATTCATAAGAGTAAATCAAGATTCTGTTTTATTTAACATTAAGTCTCAAATTCAAGAGCAGACATAAGAAAGGGGAAATTCAACAGTTTAAGAAATGTTAGATTAAAAATGTGCCCATGATTTGATTGATCTAAATCATGTCTTCAGCTGTCTTTCTTGATGTTCCCTCACTTCCTTCAAGTCTTCCCTCAAATGTTACCTTCTCAACTAGACCTATCCTGTTTAAAATCACAAACCCACCCCAGCCCTCCCTCTTGTTTCCTCTTATCCTATCCATAGCATTTATCTTCTAACCTAACATACAATTTATGTCTGTCTGCCCCCTTCACTAGACTATGAACTACTTAGATCTTTGCTTTATTCATTTCTTTATCTGATAAACTTAGAAGACCCAAAATTAAGTCAATCTAGGTGGTAGTTCCTTTCTAACCTCATAATCCTACTCAAGAAACTGGGTTGCCCTTACCTTTATTACCTAAAAGCCATCCTTTCAAATCTTATGTTCCAATTTCAGAGTTCTTGGTTTGTTCCTTAATTCCTTCCTTGATAATGTACAACTACCAAAACACAACCTATAAGCTAGGTCTTATTGCCACTGTTTGTGCCTGTTGACTAGCCACCTTTCTACCTCCACTAATACCTGCTCCGGCACATCATACCACTTGTTAAGTTTATGCTTCCTTCCTGCCCAGTGACCACTTATTTCTGGTCATTATGCTGTGCCCTCTGAGGCATCTGTTTTCAACTGCCTGGTTGGGCTTTATTCTGCTACCCAATTAGGTCCACCCCATGAACATCCCCACAAAACTAAGTTTTAGGTCTTCTCATTTGGACTTCTACTTGTTCAGAAGATCTATATAGCATAAAATTGTGCAACTGTCTGAAATGCCCCAAAGACTCTACCATTAGTACCTATTACCCAGGTGCAATTGACCCTTGAACAACACAGGTTTGAACCACGCACATCCATTTACACATGGTTTGTTTTTTGATAGATACAGTATGCACTGTAAATGCATTTCTCTTTCCCATGATTTCCTCTTTTTTTTAAAGATTTTATTTATTTACTTGACAGAGAGAGACAAAGCAAGAGAAGGAACACAAGCAGGGGGAGTGGGAGAGGGAGAAGCAGGCTTCCTGCTGAGCAGGGAGCCCAATGTGGGGCTCGATCCCAGGACCCCGGGATCATGACCTGAGCCAAAGGCAGATGCTTAACCGACTGAGCCACCCAGGTGCCCCCCATGTTTTCCTTAATAACATTTTCTTTTCTCTAGCTTACTTTATTGTAAGAATACAGCATATAACACATGTAACATACAAAATATGTGTTAATCAACTGTTTGTGTTATCGGTAAGGCTTCCGGTCAACAGTAGGATATTAGTAGTTAAGTTCTGGAGAAGTTGAAAATATGGATTTTTGACTGTGTGGGGGTTGACATGTTCAAGGGTCAACTGCAGACTATTAACCAAACTGGTGTTGAAAAGTTCACATTCAGGTACATGAGTTCAAATACCAGGTCTACCACTTAACTACTGTGTGGGTTTGAGTAAATTACTTAATTTTAGTAAAATTTCTAAAATGGGGTATCTACCTCACAGGGGTTTCTAGGACTAAATGAGAAGCACACAGATTGTTTATAGCATGGGGCCTGGAATATATGTACTCAAAGTTAGCTTTTATTATTGCTATAGCAAAATCTTAATTTTAATAGTTATGGAATACACACACACACAAACACACACACACTTTGGTTTCATATTATTACATTACAGCATCAATCTATTCAGTAATAAGTAAAATTATTGACTTATTCCTTGATAGGTCTTTAGAGAATGCCTAATTCAACTCAATCTATCGCTGGAAAAGTGAGATGATATTTACTATTGTAATAAAATCAGTTTCTCCATTTACTTAACACATCATATAGTACAAATCACTCAACAAAGCTCTTTTATTTTCACAGAACTACTTCCTTCTCCCAGTATGTTCTGTCCCCTTTGCCAGGATTGACTGTCCTTTCTCCCATTGTTTCCTGAGTAATCACCTATTTATGTTTCAAAATTTGATTAAACATTTTCCCTGTGAAGCCATTCTTGAAGTTTTCTCATCCCTGTCCTCCTTACAGAACGCAATGCACTGTAATTAGTCATAACTCTTCTCTAATAGGCTAGAATATGTACTTTGGAGATGGGGACCAAGTCACAGTCATCTTTGTATTCTTGGGGCCTGGAATACCACAGATATTTGATAAATGTTAAATGTTAACAAATGGATTATTAAAAGCATCTTGTACAAAGTTATTAAATTTCTTATAGTTTTCCTCACCTCTTACTTTTTTTTTCAGGTTTTATAAACATTTATTGAAGCCAGACATGTGTTTAAGACTTTCACCTACGTGGCAATGGTGAAGTTTTATTAAGTGGTATATGAATGAGAGTGAGAAGGACATTACTGGACTAGTGGGTTGGAGATGCAAAGTCACATGGAGTTAGATAGAATGGTGCTAGATCAAAGGTTCATACTCAAATCAGGCCATTAAGAGGCACAGAGCATATTAGAAAAGGCTGCTTTGTGTACCATCCTACACTTTCCTGTTTTCTTTTGTTTTTCTTCAGACTCCCTGAAGTCCACTTATCAGCTTCATAAAATGAGACTAGACACATGTCCCTTCCTGGTTTTGTTTGTAGTCAGGCTGGAACTCAGGAGGGCTGGCCATGCTTGTTATCAGAAATGGCTCTGAAGAATTTAGGTGGTGATGCTTCTCTATTTTAGTGCAAAAAGGACACAAACAACCTGACATGAATGGGAATAACATATACAACGAAAACTGAGTGTATCTCTAGGTCTTTAGGGCTTTTCATAGAACACCGTATGAAGATTCCTAAATGACAAGAGATGTGGGTTAATACTGGCTACTCTGTCTGCGTTCACAGATTTACTATTCAAATAGTATTCACAGACAAATCCTTCATCTTAATTTTTGTTTCATTAAATGCATTCTCATTTTGTTGGAGGAGATAGTATACCACAGTGGTTAAGAGCATGGACTACGGAGTTTGAGTGCTGGGTGTAGAGTTCTGGCTCTACCACTTACTAGACCTTGGGTAAATTACCTAACTTCTCTGTTTTTGCATGTATAGCATCTCTTAATTTTCACACCATATATACAAAATAAATCTATTTTGAGGCAGGCAGGGAAATTTGCACTTTGGAGTTCTACATATATGGCTGTAGAGATAAATGCCAGCTATACCACTGTTAGCTCATTCCTGCCCCAACAGTGAAACTTCCATTGTTTTTGAAAGGTCCAATAGTGACTTTAGTTTTTGGCAACTAAGAATTTTAAGAAATATTTGATAATTCTTTAACTTCAGTTTTAAAACCAGGTTGTGAAACAGTGGTTTTTAATGGGTCTCATCTGGCTGATACTTAGATGCCATTAAACAATACATTAGTAAATACTTTGTGTATCTCACTACCACGGCTATAAAATAATTTGAAATGTTAAATTCCTACTGATTATAAACTTCAGTTTTGATGTTTCCCAAACTACCGATTATGAAAAACATGGACCTGTTGCTGAACTATCGATACTTCACCACAGAATCAAGAAAAGGCAGATGTTGTAGTTGCCTTGATTTTACCAGGAAAACATGAGCAATCACTGAACAAAATAAGGAAGAGTACCTGACGAATAACCCCGTGTAGGCACAAAAATAACCAACCAACCAACCGAGGGACAACAGGTCTATTAGGAATCCCTGCCAAAGTTCTGGAAAAGACTCCCTAGCCATTTGCCCTAGAAAAGAATTTTTTAGTTACTTTTGGCACTGGTATATGATTTTTATTGCTTATCTTTCAGTTCAGTCAGCCTGACAAATGTACAAACATAATAGAACACAAATTAAAATTATGAAAATATATCTAACACCAAATAAATGCCATTTCCAGAGGTACTGAAAAAATCCAGGCTGCATGTAAAAGTTCTATTTGAGCTATGTTGTAGTATCACTAGATTTAATAATAAAAATGGTAAGGAGCTTCCGGACTATGGCGAGTATTTTGATATTACTACTTATGTTATCCATCACTAAGAAATAAACACTACCTGTTGCAGTAGTCAACCACAGACTCCCTTGTTGTAAATAAAGCTTCCTCTCCTTTCTTGGCCTTTGCCCACTTTGAATCCAAAAGGCAATCCACTGCTTTTGAAGCTGAAAAAGGAATTTGTCATTTTAAATTTAGTATACATGGGAATTTATGTGTCTAAATAATAATTTAGAAGACAAATATCAACATTCTGGCATCAGAAAATAAAACCAAATCCAGAGGAAATTGAGTTGGACAGGATCACGATAAATAAACAGTTCCTCAAAACCTCAATTTATGAAACATAGCAATAAGGGTCTTTTTAAAGTAATGCTGGGAAATAACTGACATTCAAAAATATTAAGTAAAACTTTTTGGGAAAATGTTCTAAACAAAAAAATTTAAAATAAATATAAGTATCACTCTTAATCAAATAATCACAATTAAATGTAGGCTAAACAAACCAAAAATCTTCCTCTCCCATGGTAATGGAAATTCTGTTATCAAGCTTTACTGTTACCGACTGAGAAATAAGCTCTATGAAAAATCTACTGCTACCACTAGAAGAAGCTAAATATATTAGATCAGAAGATAATAGAATTTATTTTTACTTTTAATGAACATCAAAATCATTAATCGTAACACTAAAGAAAGGGAAGATAACGAGATTTCTTCTCTTTAATGGCAATTCAATCTTAATCAATGAGACAGGCAAACTCAACCATTTAGTGGTTAGTGGTTGAGTTATGCGGCTATACTGTAGATGACATTAGCTTATAGTCATGTTCTTTGGATTATGTGAAAAACCAAAGCTCCTACATTAGTTCCAACAGACTTGTTTCACACTGAATTCTACTCCAGAGTTTTAAAGAAAGATTATTTTCAAGTACATATACTATCTGAACAAAAGGAAGTATTAATACTGAAAATAAATCTTATTTTTAAAATTTGCAACAAATGGTATTACAAAGCACTTTCTTTTACCTTTTTTTTTTTATTTTAAGAGGGAGAGAGCAGGGGAGGGGCAGAGGGAGAGAGAGGGAAAGAATCTTTAGTAGGCTCCATGTCCAGTGAGGAGCCTATGCAGGGCTCAATCTCACAACCCTGAGATCATGAACTGAGCTCAATCAAGAGTTGGACAGTTAACCGACTGAGCCACCCAGGTGCCCCTTTTATCTTTTGCTACTGACATTTCCAATCATAAAAGGAAGGAACAGAATAATCAATTGCCATATGCCCATCACCCAGCTTCATCAAGCATACTTGGAATGCACTTTTAAAACATCTACAAAACTGAAATTTAATTATCTTCATAAAATATGTACACTAGTATCATTTAACTGATATAATCCTACCAATAAAATAATCAACTCGGTGCCCCATCATATTGGTGGACTTTGTTGGACAGTTGAATCGAAGATACTTGGCTACAGCCTTTTCTTCTTTAGATGGTTCACCAACTTCCTGAGAAATAAGAATATTAATTTAATATAATCATTTACTTCACAAATTCATGCACTGAATTTACAGATGTGTTTGGCAAATCTTTTAAAGTGAAGTATAACCCTTTCTTTCAAGCTTTCTATGGAGCAGACCTCGTAATGTATACAAAAGACAGAACAGAGATTTTTTAAATTACACATTTTTTAAAATACATGTTGATAGGGTCAAAACCTGCCTCTTTGCCTCAGCTACAAGGCATTTACTTATTTTGAGTTGTTTTTCCAGTATGGTAACTACTTTGAACTAGTTCACCTTCACTCTTGCCTGATCTCTTTATAAGTCACAAAGCAATAATTTAAAAGATTAAGAGGTTGCCAATAGTGAGTGCCCAAATGTCAAAGTAGAAACAGGTGCCATAAATAAGTATTAAATAATAGTCAAAGCTATAAACCCTGAACAATGGACAAAAGACTAGGAGGAATTCTCAGATTAACCAAAGAGAGCTGTCTCAGTGTGGGAGCCATAAGACTATTTGAGACTCTTTTCTCACCTTGTCTTTCTTCTTTTCTTCCCTAGTAGGGGTGAAGCAAAAATAAAAATGCAATAAACAGATAAATTATGATCTAATTTAACTCATTAATGAAGTACACAAAGAGTTTGGAAAGCCTGCTTTAATCCTTCCCTGTTTGCTTTCTTCCATTCCTTTCTCCAAATTTTCTATTACTTTCTTCATTGTTTATCATTTCCTATCTTCTTATTTCCTTACATTCTGAACTACTCCTTTAATTTGACAATTCCTCCTGTGTACTTATTCTCACTATCCATATACTGAAGAAAATGAAGGCAGTCTACAGAAAATGAAGGCAGTCTGCATTTGTATACATCTTCAACTTGTATAAGTTGTCTTATTGCTATAAGCCACCGTAACAAAAGTACTGTCTTTAATTTCATGTTTAAGCATGATACATACTCAAGCACTATTTCCAGCAATGTATTATCTAAATGTGAATGATTTCAGGAAGGTCTGTTTCTTAACTAAACGAAGTGCCAAATATTAGTAAAGAATTATCTGCCGAGAATCTAGGATGCTGAAAACAATTATTGCTACTAAAGACAGTTATGTTTTAGACAAGACATTCTAATAACACAAAATAGAAAAAATAATCTACTCAAATCATCTGTCTTTATGTCAGTTTTCCTACAAATTTTAGATAAGTCTGAACGCAGTTATGTTTGATGAAAATGAGGAAACAAAAAACCAAGCTTCCAGCTTCAATTTTATCCTGAAAAGGAGTAATTTGTTGAAGTGAAAGCCTGTGCTTTGGTTGTTAAATCACCTGGTAGCTACTTCTATTTCTTCCTCTGCATTTTCCAACTCCTCTACTTCCAATTGCCCAATTAATAGTGCATATTCTTATACTCTGCTAGTAACCCATCTGTGGGTTATATGTGGCAATAAAAATCAAAAACTCAAACCATTCAATCCAAATGAAGACTACGGTAAAAACCAACTATCTGTGTGAATAAAAAGCCTTTAGTTTTATATAAAAAGTATGTATCACAGAAAAATAAAATCTTAAAAATTTACAAGTTCAAAATTAACACTATTAACAAAATTAATTAACAAAATGTAACACTCCAAGTTCACTAACAGCTACAAGGTTCATAATGATTTGGAGCTTAGCCACAAAATACTTTCTGACAAACTAAAGGGTGAAAAGTCTGTATTTCAATTTTTTGAAATCACACTAAAATATATTGATATGTATTAATATCATATGTTAAATGGTAGTATTTAATTGTGCTTGTATAATACAATGCATTTCTAGGAGGCTCATATATTAGTAAATAATATCCCATATATTCATGGTACAGCCAAAAAAGTAATACTATAAATAGTTGAAAATAATGCGATACTATAAATTAGCTTATGGAAACAATTCTATTTTATAATCACACCCACATATGCTCAATTTTTTTCTCATTTGATACATGTGTTGTCAATTTAAAGTTTTATGTAATTAATAAGTTGTTACTGGGATATGCTTGACTGAAAATGACCACGTGACATAAGTCTAAATAAACATAAATTGTTCAAATACATACTTACTATGTGTATACCTTAGAATACCTTTGGGTGTTTCAGTTAATACCAAAATTTGTAAGGTGTGATACCTATACTCTATTACAACTATCCAAAATAGCAATTGTTATTTTCCAGAATAACATATCATACATATTTTCCAAGCACATCAACTTTAGATATGACAAGTTTATACTCATACTAGCACTCAAACTATTTACTGAAGAGAGGTATAAATATACTAATCTAATGATTTTTTTGACAGAGGCATCACATGTAAAATCTGATACAAGGATACACAAGAACTGCAAAAGTTCATTCTATTATTATACAGTAGGGAATCTGATTCTACATGAATCCACAACACTTTTAAACCTCATTTTAACAATTAACTTCAAGTTCACCGAACTCTTCAAACAACCTCAAGATAGACTCAAGTAATCTATTTTTATTCCTTTCCCCTCCTTGGTAAAGGTACTACTAAATAACAATGAACAGAGGAAACCCACAAAACATGGACTTAGATAATCTTTCCCAAGTAGACACAGTTACTTATACATTGATACTTTTTTAAAGTATCAATAACTTCCTTTGAAAATGACAAGAAATGAAGTCTATCAAGATATTGGTATAACAGAACTGATAACCTTCCTCGATCCTTAGTAAGTTTCTATTTTCTTTTGTGAATTATGAAATGTTGATTATATCACATGTAAGTTATACATATTGTAGAATGCCTCTAGGTGAAAAGTATAGAATTTGTGCCATCTGCTGGGGCTCTGAAGACAGAAAGAAAGATTGCTATAAAAGACTACCAAGAGAACATGACCGTGGGAAGCTGGTTAGATAGAAGATCTTGCCATGGAGTCTTCACTCTCACTGCTCCCCTGCTGCAGCTTAAAGAGTATAAAACAGTCTTATCCTCTTCCTGTTTATACATTAGACTATAGAACTTCCCTTCTTTGTTCCCTTTTGATGTGAACAAATCTTCAGAATATTTTCACAACTTTTCTAGAAACCTTCTAACAAGAAGTGAAGGCCTTTGGGAATAGCATCAACCACTAATAAAGAGAAGCCAGCTCATCAACCCTCAAATGAAAAGAACTTCATAGCTCAATCAGTGAGCTCAAATGTCTTAGAAAGAGAAAGCAAAGAAAGAGCCAATAGGTTTTGAGGCTGGACTGCTATCTTTGCACCCAAATACCAAAATGCTGGCTGTTGCACTCACAGTCCAAAATTATGTAAGTTGAAAGTTTGGTTAGAACATTCTTTTTAAGTTCCTTAACAAGTACTATTTTTACTTTAGATCAAGATGCAAATACAATAATGAAATAGGGGTGTTACCATTTTTAACTATATATTATTCTAGCCAGTACCTATGATAACCTTTTTGGGAAAAAATATTAGATCAAGAGTCAATAAGCCAGTCTTCAATCTTACAGAATTTTTTAAATTACTATATTCAACAGAAATAAGCTTGGTTGATTTGTCAAGTGAAGTAAGCAAAAAAGAAAAAGATTAGTTCACAAATCATAAATTTGTATCTTCATACAAGCAGTATAAAATATTTGTGAAATGCAAATAGATTAACAGTAAAATCTGAAAGTTGGAGGGGACCCTAGATAAATCATTTGCTTAAAGTCACACAGCATATTACTAATAAAGCTTTTCAAGAGTCTCTGTATCTTGACTATGACAGTGCCCTTCTGTAAATACCCCACTGTTTCACTCCCCTTGCAAGCCCTTCATTAAGCCTCTGGGGGAGTTTTCAGACTTAGGACTGGCTTCTTGGGTTCCTTCTATTTTCTTCAGAAGGTCTCAGAGAGTCAGATTGTATGGTCACAAACTTTCTCTTTTCTTCCCTTTTCTGAAATTAAGCATCAAGGCCCAGGATATGTCAGGGTTTTACTGCCAGGCAGACAGATGGGTGCAATAAAATTAACTGAGATGAAGATTATAAAAGTTCTAAGAATTAGTAAGCCATTTAAATGTCCCAAAACTCAACTGAATACACGTAAGCAGAATACTAAATGGGATGTTTCTCTCTTTAGCAGGGACAAGTTATGTTAAATCTTTGTGTTATATAATTTAATATAAAAATTTTAGGATTAAAGCATTTCAGAACAATTTATTTTTATTTTATCACTGGGGAGGTGGAAAGAACACTCAACTGGGAATTAGAAGACTTGGTCTAAGTCTGGTTTTACTACCTTGACAAATGACCCTGGATCAAATCACATAACCTCACTGAACCTTAGTTTATCTATAAAATGATGGTGACATATTAGATCAATAAGTTTTATACCTAGTAAACTTTTAGTTGTTGGTCCTAAAAATAGCTTAAAGGACCATGAGGTATGGGATGATGGTAGTGGGGTACTGAGGTGACAGGGCTTTGGGCCCATCATCCTGCTTTTACATAAGAACTGCATTTGTGCAAAAGGATTCTAAACAAATTCTATTATCTGCAAATCCTCAACTCTAAAATTTCATGATACCAGCATTCCAAACCAGTAAGCACTTTGTTAGCCAACAAGCACATACTGTATACTCTTAAAAACTTACGTAATTCATTTCTTAAATCTTAAAATTATTTATTTTCAAATGGTCCACTAATTTGATTGACATCATTCTCATTTGAGAATCTCAATCATTAAAATTTCCTATTATAACGTTAATAAACATGTAGCACACTTCCAGTTTTCAGTGATCAGTAAAGTGAATCCAAGAAGAAAATGTGACAAAATAGTCCCCTTTCTTCCAACTTTGATGGGATATCAGAATCTGAAATTATGTAACACTAGAAAAAGCAAATAAATTAGCTACTTTTCCAAACCCTGAAATTGTATCAATCATTTCTCCCAATGTACAAATTATAATTCAAGGTCACTTGAACCTATTAAACATAAAAATCTTTTCTAAACATGAAACATCAAGTAACAAACAACAGGAAATTCAGTTAATATTACAGACATTTTTCCAAAAGTCTTACAATAGAATCTCTTCTGTAACTTAAACTCTGAACTTTGTCATTACATTTGATCTTTTTGTCTAAAGTGATGCCAATATTATAGTTTCTGATTTGGGGCGGGGTGGGTGGAGAGAAACCCAAGGATGTTATATTTTACATTTTTATTAATTTGTTAAACACTGCATAGTACTACTCCAAGTAGCACTCCCAAGACCTCCACAACATTCTAGCGCAGCTATGTATAAACTTCCAGGATGGAAAAAAATAAATGTTATATATTTTCATTTAGCAATATGTCAAGCTGATTTTTAACAGTAAGATACATATTTATCTGATCCTCAAATAAACAATATTAGGTAAATAGCTATACTTTATGGAACTCACAACCTAATGGTTTATTTACTGAATAGATAGCTGTTAATCTTTCTTCAGCATAATCAGAGTGGTTAACAAAAACCAAAACAAACTATCCTAAATCCTTCCTCCTTTTGGAGAAGGGAAAGGAAGGAGTTATATGCCAAACACTCTTTTACTAACTTCTACAACCTTTAATAACAAATCACTGACTCACCTATTTTTCACAGTAACTCTACAACCCTTTTTTGAGGTACATATCCTTTCTTAAAATTTCTAAATTGAGGTAAAAAGTTAAGTAATTTGCCCAAAGTTACACAACTAATAATTACTGAAACTAGGGTACAAACAGGCAGCCTGGCCCAAGTTTTAGCTCCCTGCCACTGCTACTACCACACAGCTTCTTAATCTACCTTACTGTTTAATATAAGATCAAAACTGAAAAAAGAGCAGCTATTCAAAAGTGAGTAAGGATCACCTTTACAACAATGTTAAACGAAAGTTGAAATATACAAATAATGTGTATTAAAGGGCAAACATGTACTATATGCATAAATTTAAGTAATTACAAATCTGACCAACAACTTCAATACAAATTCTGATGAAAGTATTATATATCCACACCCAACCAATAATCCTAAATTCTGAAACTAGGAATAGTATAATTAGAAACTTCTTCCATAATAACCTTAAGCCCTGGTTTGATGACCTGTTGGAACTTGGAGGAATTTGTCCCTTTTGACTGTCTTCTGTACTCTCTGTTAGGAACTACATTCTTATTTCTGCTCAATTCCAAAATTCCAAATTTACATCACTGGCATCTTTTTTTTTCTTAGTACTTCATAGTTTTCCAGAGAATTTTAACGTGCATGGCTCAAATCACCTGTATAGGCCAATTAAGTGAGTTTTTTTTTTTTTTAATGGAGGAGTAAAACACTAAATAGAAAAAGTCATTCTAATCAATGAAATACTAAGAAACAGAAAGTGTAACAATTTAATTAGTATATTAACAAATTACATTTTATCAATTTATGATGACATATGAAGGTTTCTAGGCAGATAAATTAAGACAACTGACTAATAAAAAACATCCTGAGTCTAAGATGTTCCACTATTTAATCCTCTTGGCAAAAAGCTAGAACACCAGGGGGAAAACTGCAGGGAAAAAATGCACAGATAACATATAGGTGGAACAAGGGAGGGATGTTATGTAGGTTATGAGGCTAACACACTAGCATGTGAAAGGTTTCTGGGCACGACCAGGTCGTTGCCAAGTACCAACGAGGTTATGTTTATTTACACTGTGTCGCCTGAAAGAGGCGGAAAGCTTCGATTGGGCTATTAAGTTAATAACATTGAGGAGAAAGGAGGGTATACACAACTGAACATCTGGATAGGCAGACCGTCGACCCCGGGGCAGCTGACCGAACCCAGATTACTCCCTCTCCTACGTTCCTCCTATTTATTTGCGCACAAAGAACCGGCTGCTTTAGGTCAACCAGTCCTCCTCCTCCTTCTACCCTAATTACCATGGCCTTAATTTCGGGATAACTAAGGCGAGAGGATGAGGCAGAAAAGGGAGGGGAGGAACCCGGGGAGGTCGGTGTCTGAGCTCGGGAGGAGGCCGACCTCCCAGCGCAGGCCTGGGGCCGGAGCAGTCACAGAAACCCTACGCTGGCAGCCGCGCCTCCGCGGCCGATTCCAAGCGGCGCCGTTTGCTTTCCGCCGCTGCCCCACCACGTCCGCCTCGCTCTCCCCGTCGCCAACACCGCCCCCCCCCCAGGTCCCTCAAAACGACGCAGCCCGCACCCGGAGACCTCGCAGCGGAACGCCAGCTTGTCTCGCCCTCGGTTTCGCTCGCCCTTCCGGGGGCTCCCTCGCTGCTTCTACTGCCGAGCGCCCTGAAGTCCCCTACCCCAGGGCTCGCCTTTACTACCTGGATCCGCTTCTTGTGTCGCCTGCGTTCCGCCATGTTGGCCGCTCCGCCCGGTCCCCTCTGACGTGGAGCGAGGAGGGGGGCGGTGGAAACCTCGCGAGAGCGCGCGTGGGCCCGTTATGTAATCTGGCGGCTGGCCGCGGGCGGCCGGCGGCCGGCGCCCAGGGATGGGGAAGGCCGGTGAGAGGCTGGGTCCCCGGCGGCCCCGCCGGGCGGGCTTTGTTGGCTCCTTCTTTGTCCTCTTCACTCCTTTTGTTGCGGGAACTGGAAATCTCTGGGACCAAGAAGGAAATTGAGAAGTTGTTCAGAGAACAGGAAGGCTGGAGACTCCTTGGTTCTCAGACCCGACCGAGCATCTGAATCACCTGGGAAGTTACTAAGATACAGATTCCCGGACCCCACCCCCTCAGGGTCAGTACGTTTGGGGTGGGACCTTTCACAGAGAGATTTACTAAGGTCTACAGAATTCCTGACGTCTCTGTGGCAATTCCTATGTTTTCAACGAGTTCTCATCCACCAACGAGACTTGACCCATGTGTAAATTCTTTTAAGCCCATTTAAGAGATGGGAAAACAACTGAGGGGCAGAGATATGAACTGATTTATCTAAGTCTCCACAGCTGGTAGACCGGCGGGGCTGAGACCTAAACCAATTTTCTTTTTTCCATACGAAGTATGGGGTAGTAGGGCTCATCTTAAAGTTTGGATTCTCCATTTCATTTTCTACCTTGTTTCTCGAAACTCACCTTTAGAATCCGAGAGTCAGAATTTAGGAAAGTACAAGCAACTAGTAAGATAAGTGGGAGAAAGAGTCTAAGAAGTTGGGAGTGAAGAAGACTGCAGGCCACTTAGTCTGTGAATTACTCTTACTACTCTAACTATTGTTATTTTAGAGATTCTCAGTCTTGCTTACAGCTTAATTTCAAAATATATTGCATAAATGTTTATTTCCGTCTTCTGGATATTTCCACTGAATGTCCAATTAAAAGACCCTTTCCCCCACAAAACCTGCCCCTTTGGCTGTGTTTTAAATCTGTGATAACTTTATCATTGTTCACTCAGTTACTCATATTAGAAACCTTGGAAGTATCCCAAACCTGCTTTGCTAATCAGTTACCAATCCAATTGATTCTACAACTGAGATGTTTGGAATTCTTTCCTTCCTCATCACTCCTACTGCCATTTCTTTGTCAGGTCTTTATCATTACTTACCTGGACTATTGTTGCAAGAGCCTCCTGATCATTTGCCCCAACTCTACCCTCTCTACTACATTCCAAGGGTCTTCCACTCCCCCACCCCATAGCTCTCCAATTGTGTACAGCATTCATGATAGCTAATGTTCACACATACAAGCCAAATTTCAAATTTCTTCTATTTAATATGTATATAAAAACAGCTCAAACACTCTTCCAAGCACTCCATTTATATATTTGATGGCAGTAGCAGGGAGTTTCTCCTGGCCACTTCTTGTTCTGCTTCCCCTTTGAATTTACAATCTCACTCCTGTCATTTGACCGTTCTTTCTTTCCCAAAGAGGGAGCATTGCCTCTTTTCCTGTGTTTCGCCAAAGCAAAACTTTTCTTTGCCCCTGCGCTCTGTCACTTCTTCTCCCTAGGGATCCCTCTGAAAATTAGATTTCTCTTGCTTCATAGAATAGAGAAATTGAGGTCTTCACTCTTTACTGGATTCCTTCAGGCATATAGATTAAAAGACTCATTACCATGCTCTACTAAACAAAGGGTTCTCCACTTTGGATCCTGTCTCTGGAGGACTGATGAATAGGTGGGGGTTTGAAAAATTCAGTTTCTTGGGTTCTACCATCCCAGTAATTGGAAGGGAATAGTATATAGAAGTATTCCCATTCATAAGACTTAAGTAAACTGGAAACTGGTACATTCAGATTTTTGTTTTAAATAACACTTTCTCTGGGTCCATTTTTTATGTTAAACATATATGTGTGACTAAATCAGAAAGAAAGAAATTATAGGGAAGTATAGCAAATAAATGGACAGGCCTTTCTGGGGCATGGTTTTTATTTATTTACTTATTTATTTAATATTTTTTCTTATTTATTTGACAGAGAGAAAGGGGGGAGAGAGAGAGAGAGAGCACAAGCAGGGGAAGCAGCAGGCAGAGGGAGAGGGAGAGGCAGGCTCCCCGCGGAGCAGAGAACCTGATGCGGGGCTTGAACCCAGGACCCTGGGATCATGACCTGAGCCGAAGGCAGAGGCTTAACTGACTGAGCCACCCAGGCGCCCCTGGGGCATAGTTTTTATAAGAGCATTTAAAAATATGTAGTTAATAATGTCAATGACTTAAAGCTGTTATTACAAAGAAAAATAAATTTAATATAAATATATTTAATATATTTAAAGGGCCGGTAAGCCCCATTTTATTTGAAAATTGATTTAATATTTATTTCTTAAAGATTTTATTTATTTATTTGAGACAGTGAGTGAGAGAGAGAACAGAAGCGGGGGAGCAGCAGAGGGAGAGGGAGAAGCAGACTCCCCACTGAGCAGGGAGCCCGATGCGGGGACTCAATCCCAGGACCCTGGGATCATGACCTCAGCTGAAGGCACATGCTTAACCAACCGAGCCATCCAGGTGCCCCTGATTTAATATTTTAAAATAAATTGATTCTTTAGACTTCTAGCATAAATAAAAAAATGGCATAAATAAGACATTGAGCATGTATCATTGAAAAACAAGCACAGATATTTTGTTTAAAAAAGTGTTATATATTAACATGCTAATATTTTTAAAAAATATATAGACTGTGTGCAAGGGAAATTCACTGCAGCAGCATTGCTTAGAATAGTAGAAATGGAAAGTAGAAATGGAAAAGATGTCCTTAATGTTAAATGAAAAATAAAAATGTTTCAGAAAAAAATGCATATTTTTATGTTTAATATTTAAAAATCACTTTGTCGGGGCACCTGGGTGACTCAGTTGGTTAAGGGTCCGACTCTGGGTTTCAGCTCAATTCATGATCTCAGGGTCATGAGATTGAGCCCCGCATTGGGCTACGCCCTCAGCACAGAGTCGGCTTGTCCCTTTCCCTCCCACTCTGCTCTGCTCCCCTCAACACCCATGCTCTCTCTCTCAAATAAATACATAAAAATCTTTAAAAATATATAAAAAACATAACTAAAAATCACTTTGTCTTTTTTTTAAGATTTTATTTATTTATTTGACAGAGAGAGACATAGCGAGAGAGGGAACAAAAGCAGGGGGAGTGGGAGAGGGAGAAGCAGGCTTCCTGCAGAGCAGGGAGCCCGCTGTGGGGCTCGATGTGGGGCCCTATCCCAGGAGCTTGGGATCATGACCTGAGCGGAAGGCAGACGCTTAACGTCTGAGCCACCCAGGTGCCGCTCACTGTCTTTTTAACTGAAATGGTAATTATTTTGTCATTTCAAACACAAGTGTTAGCAGTACCAATCTCATTCAGATACCAGATACTCACGATTTCCTTTACCCTATTAGTCAGGGTTCAGTGCACAAAAGAGAAACTAATCTAGGTATTTTAATAAGAAAGGGACTCAATTAGGGGAATTAGATGTTTCCAGCATCCTTGAAAGACTGGAGGAGCAGATTCAAGTCTGAGGCTGCCTGAACGACTGCCAGAACTGTGCAGCATAGACCAGTTAGGGAAATCTACCCTTGGGGAGACAGGAATCCAGAATTAGCAACACTGAGCTCAAGAACCTACCAGGATAACTGTGACTCAGCTGTTAGGAAGCCAGGACCAGAAGCTATTACCAGCACGGCTACAACTGCCTCTTAACTCCCACACTCAAGACTGGACACTAGAAAAACCCTGTGTCTGCATGACCTTACTTTGCCAGCAGAGTAAAGGCCAGCGCACCAGGAAGATGGCCTCCCCATTACTTTTGTCCTGATCTCCTGACAGTGCATCGAATTAGAACCAGAATTCTAATTGTAAGGGAGTCGGGAAATGAACACTTTAGCTTTCCAACTTCTGCTGTGTGCTAGTTGACCACATGCAACCATTATCTTCTTCTTTAGAATCACATAGTTCATGTCTACCTTTCCTCCTTCATCTTTGATACGGTGAGACTGTTGCGGGGTCATGGAGTGCAAGGGCCAGGAAAGAAGTCTTGAGACGTTTTAGGGTATAACTTAGTAAATCACTTAAGCAGCACAGAGACAGGACCCATGGGCAGAAAGGGCTGCACTTTTGCTCTATGAAGCTGATGGTTACATGCTTAGTGCTCAAAGGGGAGGGAACATGCAGGAGTATTAGATCATAAATATCTTCTTTGAATTTCTATTCATAAAACTACTTTTGCAAGATTTCTCTGGTGCTTATCATTCGGTTTGATTCTGACTATCAGCGAGATACACAGGCAGTCATGAGGCGCTTTAAGAATGTAGCAACCACCGTGTATTTGATCCTTATCAAAACTACGCAGGCTATAGGTCAGCCTTCTGGGTGAAAGGTAAACATTTTTCTGCTCCTATCCCTCATCAAGACTACATTTCTCCTCCTACTCCCCCATCCTGCCTGTGCACTTTCACACTCACATGTTTCCCATTTTTTCCCCCTTCCCATGTGAATAGATGTCAATGGAGTAGATGACAAATGATGAGAATGACAGGTCCTTATTCTCTGGAGCTTTAGTAAATGAGAGGAATATTCTTATAAGGCAGACAAAATTATGTTGGGAAGTCTTCCTTATATCTCAAGGCTTCTATTACACTTCATTTACCTTTCATGGTTCATTAGTCTTTAGTCTTAAGAAAAAGAAAATCCTCAGTTTTTCTTTGTCTTTCATGACTTTGACTTTTTGAAGAGGACTGGCCAGTTAGAATGTTGCTCAATTTGGGTTTGTCTGATATTTCCTCATGATTACGTTCAGGTTATACATTTTGAGCAGGAATGTCACAGAAATGACACTGTGCCTCTCAATGCATCCTATCAGGAAGAACAGAGTCGATGTGTCCTATCAATGGTGATGCTAATTTTGATCATTTAGTTAAGGTGTCATCTACCAGCTGCCATTCCACCACTGGAAAGTTACTGTCTTCCCTTTGAAA